AAACCCATAAATAAGACAGTATATATTGTACGCCATAGTATATATTAGGGTCTGTAGAGGTTACTCAGCTTCATCCATGCATGTGGTTGCCCAGGCGCTTCCAGGCCGTTCCAGGGGGCTTCCAGGGGCTTCCAGGGGCCTCCAATGGACTCCAGGGCCTCCAAGGGCCTCCGGAAGCAACCCCAAAAACCACAAACATCTTTTGAACGAAAAATGCGGCCTGCCGCGTACTGCCAAAGCCTCGAACCTTGGGCGAGGCTGAATTTTCATTCGGGATGGTCAGGCTGGACTAGGCCACGAGGGGGTGAAGGGATCTGAACGCCCTGAGGCTGGATGCCTCGGCGATAATAGCCGCAGCACTAACAATTAGCTCATTTCGGGGTTTCCAAATTTCTTTATACATGCTTGCTTACATCTTTGGAAACCCTAAACCCTATAGTAGGGCTTACTACGGGGGATACTAGGAGTCTACACTTACTCATATGGATTTCCATTCCAGTGTGGAAAACAGAGGGCGGGCCAGGCCCAGGTATACCGTCTGCACGCGGTTTAGGGTGTAGGGTTCAGGGTATAGGGGCGAGGCGGATACCCCTCCCAAACTAGCATGGAACCCCATTGAGAGCCCTCTGAAAAGGAGAGTTTCGCGGCCCCTTTTTGGGTCCCATGTACTTGGTCCCGTGTTAAATTGGCGGAGGGTACTTGTAGATGATGAGGAGTTCGCTTTTGCCATTTTACTTGCCAAGTCCGTTTGGGAATCTATGCAGGTGGGCAAGACCATCCAGCAGAAAGGCGGTTCATTATCTTTCCAAAGCTGCCGAAGTCAATTTCACGGAGGTGGCTTGGAAATGCGCAGCCGCCACAGCACCTTTAAATCCGCCGATGCTGAACTGGGTTTCGTTTCTTGCGCGGCACGTCGTGGCGGGGGAATGAGCATCCGTCAAAACGGCAAGATGAAGTCCTTGCGAACGGCAGCTCGCTTCGTCAACTGCAGTGCGCTACGAAATGGAGGGGGCTTTTACTTTGGCGACGGTTGGCTGCAATGGGTTGGTGCCTCAGTTCACTTTGAAGGTTGTCATGCTGCTCACTTGGGTGGAGCTTTGTACGGTGTCGAGACAAACCTCAGTCTGCAAGACGTGGACGTGCAGGTCACAAGCTGTTCAGCTGGAAGCGTAGGTGGTGGCCTCTACCTGGAGGAGGGCGCGCTGCAACATAAAGGGGGGAAACAGTTGTTCTTTCGCCATTGCCAAGCCCCGCTGGGTGCAGCGTTTCAAGCTCGCCTTGGGGCTCTCCTAACAGAGGTGGGTCAGTCTCAAAATTTCAGATGCTGTTAGATACGCTGTTCGCTTGCCATTTTTATTTGAAGGGTACAAGGATGTGTCCATGTCCTTTCAACTTACGGATAATCTACCCAGGGTTTTAACAATAGGGGGAAGAGATTAATCCCTATTTGACGTCTATACATTCCCAGTCGTTTATTTTGATTTGTTGCAGTCTGATTCTAAATTGCTTCGGCAGGTACATGTGGAAAACTGCACCGGCCGGTCAGCAGAGATCGCATCTTATCAGGGCATCATTTCCGCTGATCGTGTAAGCCTCCACTATGGTGATGTAACAGCAGGCAAGGGCTCAGCATATCTTTGCTTGTTGGTGATCAGTGGGGTTACTCACGTTTTACCGTCATGATTTTGTAGCTCGCTTGCTCGATATGTATGATTTGGCTGTGGTTTATTCGCAGAAACCATCGCATCCAACATGTTTGATGGTTTTTTTCCGGGAAGGATCCTCTTGTCTTGGGAGTTTGCGCGGAGCCTTCTTTCTGGCCAGGCTACTTCTTTGAAGCCATTGCTCGAAGCATCCTTATTGCAGACTTGGATTGCACCATGGTCGGCGAGTGTGCCCTGACGTCCGACAGACACGAAATCAGCAGCCTTCGTTGTCCTCCAGGTCGGGGTCGTATTCTTGACTCTGGGATAGATTTGGTGGTTTCCTAAATAGGGAGGCACGAATATAGGCCCCTTAGATACTACAGTCCTTATTATGGGAGCCCCCAAAAAGATACCATTAATTTTTGGGAAACCACCTTTTCTCGAATCAACTTTGAACTTCCATTTTCTCATTGCTCTAGAGCCTTTGTATATTAACATGTAATCTTGAAAGAACCTGCGCATCCAGATTAGGATCCACCTTCTATGCTCGGCTGCTTCACTTGTCAACCGGGGTGCCTTGGATCCAACGACATGGATTCGGAAGAAGTTCTAAACGCGCCAGAGCCTAGGAGCAGAGCCCTAAACCCTCCACCCTAAACCCTACGTGGTTTTGAGTCTTGACTCTTGACTTTCCCGGCAGGTCCTTTCAGGTTCTGAAGGCAGCCAACGCATCATGCCTTCGGTGCCCAAAGCAGACAGCTGTCTGTAACACGACACATGTGATCATGCAACCTGGATATATGGTTGAAGCGACAGCAAACCTCTCCAACATGAGCGTAATGTCTCCGGTGGTCGATGTGAACAAGACCTATGCTTGCCCGAATGCAGCTGCTTGTCCAGGACGGTACTCCCCTCCCCCCATGAGAACACCCTTGCTTCTTCCGATGCCTTATTACAGATTTGTGCCACAATGCCACAATGCCACAAGGATGCAGGTGCGAGGGGAAGGCCTTGTAACATTCAGAGCAGGAGTTTCGTGAAAAAGAGCATTGTGGGCATGGGTGTGGGCATAAAGGATCCATTTCTACCAAATACCTTTCAACGTCGAGGTGTGTTGAACGAAACGCTCCTGGTTGTTGCTAGCAGGCTACTAGAACACCGTCTAAATTCGAGGCGCTGCATTTACCAGGCCCAACAAAACTTTGATTGTGTAGCAGTGCTAGCGACGCTCCAGGAGGTCAACTCTCCTACCAGAGCCAATCCAGCATGTGTGCCGTGGGCTATGTTGGGAGAGCCTGCATATGGCCAGCAGCAGGTTATGCCTCCTCAGATGCTGCCCCTCTCCGATTTGTTCAGTGCCCAACCTCACGATTGGGCTTGTTGCTGTTATCTGCTTTCCTGATTGTGAAGGATGTTCTGCTCTTCGCCATCTCATCGTTCAGCGTGCTCGGAGCCAAGGCTGAGTCCAAGGAGAGCGGCGTCCTGTTGAACCAGTTGATGTCGTTTGCAACAGTCAACTCGATCTGCTTCATGGTCATCGCGCAGAGAGACGTGTACCAGCAGTTGAACGGCTTTGCCGAACATTTTCTGTTTAGCTGTGGGTTGGCAATGGACCTGGCGCGCGGTCAGGGTGGAGGCGGGACATCCATCGCTTGCGTTATCCACGCCATCCTCGGCACAGATTATGTGACCCTGTGGATGCGATTCTTTGCTGCATCGCTGACGCCCGTGATGCTCATCATCATCTTAAGCTGCCTTCAAGACCCATGGCTTGCTTTCATCGTCGGCACAAATTGTTTTCTACCTAGCTTATGTGGACGAGCTGCATGGCACTTTGTCGCTTACAAGCCAAGTGAAGAGGAGGCAACTTTTATCGGTGATCTTGCCCCTGGTGAGTCCATGGTTTCATACTTTATTCCCGTGATTGCCACCCTGATGTGCTTCTTTGCTGTCACTATCTGGTCCTGGATGAGAGCTGTGTCCGTTGCAAAGGCACCTCTTCCGCCACATGTGCTTTACATAAGCCGGGCGTACAAATCTGAGCATGCTGGGTGGGAGTTGGAGCGACTTCTGAGAAAGATGCTATTGGCATTGATCCAGGGTGCTTTCCCGATTACCATCCATCCCGTGTCCCTACTGGCCCTGACCAGCATCGTTTTGATGTTCTCTTTAGTGGCATACCTCAAGCTGAAGCCTTACAAAAAGGATGCCTTTAATCAGCTCGAGACGCTTCTGCTTATGATCGGCGTTTCCATGCCAATTCTTACCATTATGTCGGTGGCACATACTGGGGGTCTTCACAAATTTTGCTTGGTTGGAATGGGAAATGCTTTGGCCTTCCTTATCATTTCTGTAATCCTGGCGGCTGGGTCATGATTTCGGAAAAACTTTGGGTGTGAGAAATGCTTCAGCCAAGTCAGACAAACATTATGCTATAGTAGTTTCCATCTTGTTTTCAATTATCCCTTTACTACCCCAATATTAACCAAACATTACCGAAAAAGTACCTCCAGCATGGTCCAGGTTGGCATGACGCTGATGATGGGAGCAGTTGCCGCAGCAATGATCAGAGACCATCGGCGCGACTAGCCGAGCTGTCGCAAAACTGTCATACCTCTTCGGGGCTTTTGGTAGCTTACCTAAATGGGGCGGACCCCTCTATAGTCCCTATCATCCTTGTTATGTGGATCCCCCAAGAGGTACCCCTAACTGTTGGAACCCCCATGTCTTAATCAGAATGCCATGAGGTTTGGAGGTTGGTAGAGACCGCAATGTGGGCATGCAATATACCTAATGGAGTCCTACAGCTGGTCACTTGTCACTGCAAATGATATTTCCCCAAAATAGGAGGCCGCAAAAAGGGACCCGATTTTTTCTCGGACAATCCCGATTGGTTGCCAGCCGAGGTTCAGTGCTGTAGGCTCGGCAATGCTCAGCCCGATTTAGGGTTTAGGGTTTTAGGGTTTAGGGTTTGGTGTTTAGATTTAGGGTTCCCAAGCCCGACCACCCTAAACCTTGCTCTGTGCATGCGCCACCCTAAAGTCTGAGACCCTGGGTTCAGGGAAATATAGGGATCATAAGGTATATTTTGGGGTTCTATTAGGATAATGGAAAACACAATGGAAACTAGTATAGGGCTTAGGGTTTTAGGGGATTCTACACTCCGAAAGTGCGAGCTTACCATGCTGGAGCTTTCGGAAGTTATTCGAAGACACCTGCCTGGGGTCGTCAGCGCTTCGACTGCAGATTAGGCTTCAGGGTTTAGAGTTTAGGGTTTGGGATTTAGAGTTTAGAGTTTAGGGTTTAGGATTTAGGGTTTAGAGTTTAAGGTTTAGGATTTAGGGTCTAGAGTTTAGAGTTTAGGGTTTAGAGTTACGGTTTGGGATTTAGGGTTTAGAAGTTCGGGTTTAGGATTTAGGGTTTAGAGTTTAGAGTTGAGAGTTTAGAGTTTAGGCTTCATGCTTTCCCTAAGCCCTATGCCTAGGTCCGACCCAAGCTCTCCTTCGAACCTAAGACCCTCCCGCTAATACTGAAATTAATTTGCCAATATAGCGAAACACATTTATACGTATATACGCATTTAGCATTCCACATATTTATATATGGGGAATGCCTAATGTTAGGAGGAGTGGTGGGGTTTTCAATATTAGGCGTAGGGGCTTAAGCCCTACACCCAAAGCCGAAACCCAACATCCCAAACCCCAAACCCTACACCCAAAGCGATTGTAACATGTGTTGGCCAAGATGAGCCCAAAGTTGGGTTTGACAAAATTAGTGTCCAGGGTTTCAGGCTTTAGAACTTAGTTTCTACCCAGGTTTGGGTGGTTGTCAAAATTATGGTCCGTTTTTGGGTACCCTAAATATTAGGTGCCGTATTATAATAGGGACCCAAAAAGGGACCATGATTTTGACAACCACCCGTTTAGTGTCAAGATGTTCGGACAGTCGCTCATACTGATGCTCGAACCAAAATGCATTTTGAACTTGAGCCGAAGGGATGGATGTACTGAACACAGTGAGAGTGCAGCCTGACTCCGTCACTGCCTGGTTTCTGTATGTGTTCATTCGTGAGGCAAGGAAAGCAGGAAAGTAAGCCAGAACTGAAGGAAGATACGTACCAATGCAAAGTTCTAAAGCTTGGCTGTGGCCCAGATGTTGAATGGCTCCTTCCGGAGGTCTGCAAGAAACGATTATGGGGTTCCACTATAAGTCCATGGAGCCTTGCCAAGGAGGAACGTGCCAAACAGATGCAAGTATACAGATGTGTATGTCCAGTCCGTAGCAAGCACGTTGAAAGCAGAGCCCCCAAACTCTTGATGCTCGACTGCTGGGAACCCTGACAGAAGGTACCTTGAGCTTGGAGATCGACTTTCACAATGCTCCCCTAAACCCAAAAACCTTCTAAACCCCTAAACCCTAGACCGCCATTTCTGCCTGCCAGCCGTTCTTGCTTCAGGTTTAGTAGTCTGAGACCCGGGTTACCAATGGGTTATGGTTAGGGAGCTACTCATAAAAGCCTCCAACTAGAGTCATAATGGGCATATTCAGGGGACATGGCAATATAAGTTCTCAAAAATCGGCATCTATCCCTATGCATCCCCAAATATTGCGCTCACACTCCCTAAACCCCCCTAAACCCTAAACCCTAAACCCTAAAACCTACCCCCTCCAAGATCCTTTCAAAGTAGTCTGAAGCCTCTCAGTAGCCATGGCGGAGCTTCCATGTGAGGCTCCTGCCAGTTGATGTGAGCTTCTGTTCCATAGGGTTTAGGGTTATTTAGGGAAATATTGGGATAATGGAAAAGAAAATGGAGACTACTATACTGGGTTATATAGGGTGTAGGGTTTTGGGTTTAGGGTTTAGGGTTTCGGGCTTAGGGTTTCGGGTTTAGGGTTTGGAGTGTAGGGTTTGGAACTTATTGTTTGGGATTGGGGGTTTAGGGTTTGGGGTTTAAAGCCCTATTGTTTAGGATTCGGGTTGGCTAAACCCTGTTCACTAAAGCCTGAAGGCTTAGAGTTTAGGACCCAGGGTTTTCGGCTGTAGGGTTTAGGGTTTTAGGGTTTAGGGTTTTGGGACCTCAAAGTTTGTGGAATATTTGCGGTTTGGAGTTGTTTATGGGTTTCGGCACCGTTTTTTGACGTACTATTGAGGTCCAGATTTTCTTTTGGTTGGGGACACTACAGTCCCCAGGATAGCCTAAGATCATATTGATTACATGTTCATTTTGGGTGTGGTATTCTAGGAGACGAATATAGCCTCATGTTTTTCAAGCGGAAAAGAGGACTGTTCATGTGTAGGTTTCTCAGCATGAAGGAGCTGTTAGGTTAGGGTTTCGGATTTAGGGTGTTTCACGTCGCGAACTTAAGGATACATGGTGTCATGGGGGTCTTCTTTGTGGTATTTGGGACTGTGGGAGTTTTTTCTTGGTATTCGTTGACTGTACATGTGATTCCTCATAAAATTGGGCGAGTTTTTCTTCGGTGACTATCTGCAGAGACCATGAATTCATAGATAGAACCCTCCACCCTAGACCCTAGATCCTAGACCCTAAATAAGCCCTAAATTCTAAACCCTAAACCCAAAATGGAAGAAATCCTGCACGACCATCCCAAACCTCCTAGGCCCCACAAACTGGGCGCAAGCTGCGCTCAGTTCGTGGTTGTGGTCCTTCGCCATCCTGGTGATTTCTGGAGCCCTGAAGTAGTTATAGGGTTTAGGGTTTAGGGTTTTCAAGTTCTGCAGCAGAACCCTCAACCCTAACCCCTGCGGGTTTGTTTGGCTGCCATGCATGTTGACAAGGTGATCCGCAGATTGACATGATCAACTCAGATTTCTGCAGATCTTGTTGCCCTAAACCCTCAACCTTAAACCCTAAACTGTACACCCGAAACCTTCGGCGCTCTGCACCAAACAGCAAAGGACAGTCATTTTTGCAAGAGTCTTTTTGTTGTGATCTGCGTTATGTAGTTAGGGGGAGGGCTTATTGGTGGTAAGTATGAAATGGAGGACTGGATTGCTCCCAGTGACTCTTGTGGTCCTTAGGGTTTAGGGTTTTCTTGTTGCTGAGAGTAATCCCTGTATCCCATTCATGCATTCCGTGTGAATTAAACCCCACACCCTACATAGTCTAGTAGCTTGAATTTCCTACTCTAGGCTGGCTACCAGTACGGAAAAGGTCAAAACGACTCTACTTGATCCCTTTGAGGGTTCAAACTGCCCTATGAACTTGAAATGCGACAGTCATTTCCATTCCCTTCTCTGCCTTTGGTAACATAACTCCTTCTAAGGGTTCAACTATTCCTAAACTGTAAGCTTTCAACTTTGGATATTACGGCTGCTTCCATGTCCTTTTCCATTCCTTTAGTAACAAGGGGCCCTAAAGCCTCAACATCACGGCTGTGTCCATTTCCTTTTCCATTCCTTAAAGTAATAAGGGCCCAACGCGGGCGTCATATCTTGAGCCATGGAGCTACTTTTTGGAGCTGCTGCCGCCGGGGGCGGTGGGCTGTTTTCCTACAACCGTGAGAACTACATGTTCGACAAGGAGGGGGTTTGGGGTTTAGGGTTATTTTTGTGTAATATTGGGGTTATCTTGGGGAACTATTGGGGCTATACTGGGGTTATATTAGGGTTATATTGGCGTTATATTAGGGTTACATTGGGGCACGCCAGACCCTTCTTGTAGAGCAGTTGGAAATCAAAAGGAAAGGAAGGAAACTGAAATGGAAACTGAGATTGTCTAGTGGTTTATAAGGTTTGAGGGGTGTAGGTAGGCACAGCATCTCAACTTATAACCAGGTCAACACTAAACCCTAAATAGTCTCTTACATATACTTATGCCGGCGCACGGAGGAAATCTTGCACCACTGGGCAGGTACTTACTAAAGATTCGCAACCTCCACCCACAACCTTAAATCCCCTGCAGCACTAAAGTCTTAAACGCTTAGCCTTAAGTGCAGCTGGACTCTGCATGTTCCGTAGGAAGCTCCTGATCCCCGCTATGCTGTAAAACCCCTGCAAATAGTTTCCATTTGCAGTCCAATCCCCCCACAGTATGCCCTACATAACCTTTTGAGCTGTAGTAGTCTAAGCTCTCCTTCAAAGGGGTCATATAGGGTATTCCATGGGGAAATAGTACAGGGGGGTAGTAAGGGGGATATTAGGAGTTTAGGCAATAGCTCATATACAGGTCGGAATCCAAAACCCTAAGCCCAAAGTCAGGTCCCGGGATCAACTACCACATACTTGGAGGGTCAGGGGGGCTTAATAAGTAGGTTAAGACAGGGGATGATTATGGTTACAATAGAGGTTAAGTTATAAACTTTACTGACCCACTACTTACTAAGCACCCCTAACACTCCAAGTATCTCCCAAACGCCACAGCCTAAACCTTACATGTACTATAGTTTAGACTCCTCAAAGCGAGTCATATACTGCATTATGTTGGGGACTAGAGGGGTTATTATTCCTGGCCCTCCAAATATCCCCTTGTTACAGGAGCTCCTCATCAAGAGAGATTACCAGGCGCAGAAGATGCTCGAAATACCAAGTTATGGGTATATAGTGCATGACGAGGCCCTATACCCTA